AGAGGGCCCATCCCCTGGCTCTTGGTCCTGCTCTTCATAGGGAGTGTCATACAGCTGTACCCCCCTGCCAGGCAGTTCTGCAGGGCCGAGGACACAGTCAGCTCCCACTCCCACCTGGGACTCCATCTCCTCCCTCCAGCCCCTGCCCGCTTACCGCTTATGACCCGCTGAGCGTCGTAGGGCTCCATGTAACCGTCATCTGGGGGTGGCAGATGAGGCTGGGCATCAAAGGGGTCTGAATACTCAGTGTCGTCTTCCAGCTGGGGAGAGAGAGGTGAGGAGGGGCCAGGGGTGAGGGGGACAGGCCCAACTCCGGACATCCCCTGCTGGGTGACGCTACATCACTTGCCAAACATCTCTGGGCTGACACATCTCCACCCATCAGTTTCATTGTTAGAGATAAAGAGTCTCCTCTAAGGAGCCCTGGTGGCACAATGGCTAAGTGCCCAGCTGCTAATCAGAAGGTTGGCAGTTCAAACCCACCTAGTTGCTCCACAGGAGAAAAGCCTGTGATTTGCTCCCATAAAAATGACAGCCAAGAACACCTCAGGAGGCAATTCTATTCTGTCACACAGAGTAGCTATGAGTTGAAAACAATTTGGAGGGCACCCAACAAAAACAGTCCTCTCTGCCACCCACAAGTGCTTGCAGACAGATGCCAGCTTCCTCTACTCCCTTCTTCCATCCAAATTCTCCCAGACACAGCCACCTGCATCCCTTCTTTCATAATTGAACAACCAATGCTTGTCGGGGGGCCTATGCCCACTGTTCTGGTGGCTTTACATGTATTTACTTGCACTAGCTTGTTGTTATTGTTGTTATGTGCCGTCGAGTCAAACTTGCACTAGCAGCACTCGGTAAATCCATTATTCCTATTTTATAGATGAGGGAGCTGAGGCCCAGAGAGGTTAGGTGACTTTCCCAGAGTCACACAGCTGGTAAGTGATAGAGGCAGGATTTGATCGCAGATGCTTCCTCAGAACCCCTGCCTTCTCCTGTTCTTCCTGTGCTCTTACCCACCGCCCAGCACAGCACTCGTTGTTAACTGCTGTCCAGTCGGCCCCTGAGTTATGACAATCCCATGCATGATGGAAGGAAACGCTGCGCCATCCCCATGATCAGCTGCGGATCAAACCATTGTGTCTCATTGGCTGGTTCTCACAATTAGATCACCAGGCCTTTCTTCCCCGTCCATTTTAGTCTGGAAGCTCCGCTGAAACCTGTTGAGCAACACACACGCCTCCAGGGACAGACTGCACTTGAGGTGCATTGGCTGGGAATGGAAGCTGGGCCTTCCACAGGGGAGGCAAGAATTCTACCACTGAACCCCCGTTGACCCAGCCTCTCACAGCCCTCCTCGAGCCCTAGCTCTGCTGAGGGCTTGGAGCTGACTCCCTAACTCTCTGGGAAAAGTGCTGAAGAGAATATGGGCATTGGAGTCAGCTCTAGTGAGCTAGAGCTGTGTGAGGAGCTCTGGTAGCATAGTGGCTAAAGCACTTGACTGCTAACCAGAAGGCTGGCGGTTCAAACCCACCAGCCACTCCTCAGAAGGAAGGTTGGGCAATCCTACTTCTGTAGTGATACTGCCTCGGAAACCCAAGGAGGGGTCGCTATGAGTCGGGACCGACTTGACAGCACACAACAACAGCAGCTGGAAGGGCAAAGAGTGTCCTTGGTTGGCGAGTGGGTCTGACTCCTGGAGACCCCACGTGTGCAGAGCAGGATTGCTCCACAGGGTTTTCCCAGCTGTGGCCTTTGGGATGCAGATCACCAGGCCTTTCTTCTGCTGTGCCTCTGGGCAGGCTCCAACCAACCTTTTGGGTAATAGTCGAACGCTTAACTGTTTGTGTCTCTCTGGGAGCCAAGTTTGAGTTACCCAGAGAGCAGGGGTGAGGATCATAAAGTGCCCAATAGGGGGGTCATTCACTTAGGTCTGTTTTAGGAAGACCCTGCCAGCTGCTAAGAGCAAGAGGGGAAGTGGAGGCTGGGAGAGTAGGGGACAAAGCAGGGACAATTAGAGAGGTAGGGGGACAACCAGGACCAGAAGAGGAATAGAATATGAAATCCCGCCCCCAGCAGGTGGAGGATTGGGCCCTGAGCTGCCCCCTGGGGCCCCAGACAAAACAAGCTTCCCAAATACTGGGGACCCAGCCAGACCCTCCCACCCAGTCTCCCCAGGTCAGACAGCCTCAGACACGCACCTCCTCCCCGGGGCTGCCCAGCAAGGCCTTGGCCTTGGCCATGTCTGCAGCCTCCACCTTGATGAGCCGGTGCTTGGGAGAATCGTACTTGGAGTCTCCAGGGCCCTTGGGGTCCGCAGGCCCAGCGGGGTCCGGCTCCAGGCGGCTGTCGGCGTCCTCATAGGGGTCCTCGAAGTCTAGATTCTTCTGCGCGCGGTAGGCTCTCAGGATGTCGCTCTCCGAGTAGTCGGGGGTGGGCGGCTGCGGAGGGGGCCGCCGGCCGCCGAAGCTCAGGTAGTCCCGCAGCCACTTGGCCATGTGGGCGCGCGTCCTCCCCAAACCTGGCCACTGTCAGAGGGGGACCTGCATGCCCGCTTTCTGGACCCCTTCCTCGACAGAGCCCCCCAGGGAGGAGGAGGAGAAGGACAGGAGGAAGCAGAGGGAAGAAGGAAGAGAGAGATCAGGTGCGCCCTTAGGCTGAGCTAAGCTTGGATAGGGGAGAAAGAAGAGGGCTCAAAGGGAGAGGGGGAAAAGCGAGGGAGCAGAGGGAGGAGGAGCGAAAGCCACCTTAGCCCGGCTCAGGCAGGACCGCGGGGGACGGGAGTGCCCCAAGGGCCCTGAACGCCGAGCTCGGGGTCGTCTGGCCCGGGCGAGGGGCATCCGCGGAGCCGCGCGGATTTGCCGCGGGCAGCAAGGTCCCGGCGCGCGGTTCGGCCCCCCGTGCCTTCGGGCAGCTCCGGGATCCCTTCCAGGGACGCTCCGGCCCTCCGCTCAGCCGGGACACCTAGGTCCTCAGCGCAGCGGGAGGATTCCTCCCGGGCGCCGGCGCAGAGCGCAAAGTTGGGCCGCTAAGAGTGCGGCCCCGGCGAGGCGCAGCCTTTGTTGCCCGCCTCCGCGCTCCGGGGGGAGCCACAATCCCGCTGCCCCCGGCCCGGCCGCCTGCATCCCGCACAAAGGGAAATAAAACCCTCCCCCAACCCCCCTTCAGGCTTTCGGAGACACTTTCCCTGTCGCTGCCGCCACCGCCGGCGCGCGGCCGGGAGGTGGGACTTTGGGGAGGGGGTGCGCGGGCGGACGCCCCAGCCCCTGCGGGCCGGGTCCCGGGCAGCGACGTCAGGGCTCCCCCGCCTCCGCCTCCGTGGCGTCCCCCGCCGCACCCCTCCCCCCGCGCGCCCCTCGGAGGTTACTGAGACCTTCAGCTGTTCTGGGGAAGGCGGGAGCCGCGGCTGGCAGAGGCAAGGGGGGACGCGGGGGCGGGAGTCGCCGGGCCCTGGCCGCGGCAGCTGGACACTGGCCCTGAGGACTGAGGGTGGCCCGAGCAATCGAAGAGCGCAGGAGATGGTCATGGACAAGGGTTGACAGCGCTGCGGAGAGCGAGAGGGGCAGGGGGGGGAGAGGCACAGGGAAGGGAGGGAGACATTGGCCTGGAAATAGGGGGCTGGACCTGGCTGGAGGGGGGGGTGAAATTGACCGCTACGGAGGGTTGAAATTGAACCAGGATCTGGCTGCGCCGCTGCCCGGGAGACTGGGGGGTGGAGATTGGTGGAGAGGTCACTGGCTCACATTGACATTGAGACAGCTGGGGGAGGCAGGGAAAGGAAGGAGACCTGGCTCACCCTCCCACAAGATGGCTCGTGACTGTCCACCCCCCCAGGGGACTAATTGCAGGATGGGGGGTGGCAGGGGCAGCTGGCCGGGGAAGAGAGATGGTATCAGTGCCGGGCTTGTGGCCTCAGCATCTGTCCTTTTGTGACTTCTGGAGGAGGGAGAGGAGGGGACAGAAGCGAGAGGGGTCTGGCGTGTCCTGGGCCCCTGTTGGCAGCTGCAACAGGGGGTGGGGCAACACTCAGAGGTTTGGGGGATTAGGACAGAAAAGGGGGCGGGTGGCCAATTCCAGACCAGAGATTTCTTTCCTGGTAAGGGGGCTTGCTCTGTTCCCCCCAGTGACTGGAGTTAAGAGAGGTGGTCAGGAAGAATGGGACGCTGGTATGTCTTTTCCCAGATCCCCCAGAGGGAGCAGTGGTTTGGAGAGGAGAGAGTACCCCACAGAAGTCAGGGGTGACACTTCTGTCCTCTAGGGGCAGGGAGAGGGGCACTCCCTGTCTGTCAGTTTCCTCTTTGAGAAATGGGGCTTCTACTAGGTGAAGGAAGGCGCTCTGGTGGTGCAGTCCATAAGGCATTTGGCTGCTAACCAGAAGGTCGCTGGTTCAAACCCAGCAGCTGCTCTGTGAAAAGAAGATGAGGCAATCTACTTCCATAAAGATTCACCGCCTTGAAAACGCAATGAGGGTCGCTATGAGTCAGAACCCAGATGGCAGTGGGTTAAGGTTCGTAATGGTTAAGTGCCCAGCTGCGAACCAAAAGGCTGGCGGTTCAACCCAGTGGCTCCGCGGGAGAAAGACCTGGCCGTCTGCTCCCTCAAAGACGACAGCCTAGGGCGCGGTTCTACTCTGCCACGAGGGGTCGCTGTTGATTGGAATCGAATCCACGGCATCAGCACCAAGGACAAAGGTAAACTCCTTTGCCCGAGGACAGATGTCCAGAAGGGTCCCACGGCACCAGAGCCCAATCTTGTCATTTTGCAGATGGGAAAACTGAGGCACAGAGAGGGGGACGGTCTTGCCGCTCGTTTCCGAATGAGGACTGTCGTGTGGCCCAGCTTGGGTCAGCATTTAAGCCCATTCAATCCTTTTGTGGAATCAAATGATTCTCCCTCTCCCCTCCGTTTTAGCCCCATTGTCCCTGTGGGGAAACTGAGGCTCCGAGACAGCAGCAGGGGCCTCCACACGCGCCCTCTTCCCCTCTCCCCAGGTTGGCGGCGGCGTCCGACGGACCTGTTGGACTCTGCTCTCTGCAGACTCACGTTCACCGCGCGCCTCCCCGCAGCCCCACCCGCTGCGATCGACGACAAGGCAGCATCCCCGGGGACGCTCGGGGCACGGCGGGTAAGTGTCCTGTTTTCTGTCAGCTGCGAGGCAATTCCCGGCTCGGGGATGAGCTGTTGACAGATCTCATCAAATGGGAGTCCTCTCCCCGTCGGATAAATACGCGGCTGCGGTATAAATATTTGAAAGGGGCTTCTAATTACAGTCTGTGGACGGAATAGCAATTGCGGGCCCGCAGGCGGAATCAAACGGGCGTTTGACTTCCCTGCGCTTTTGAGCTGCCTTCTCCAGGGGCTGTCCCCCACTCCGAGGAGAGGCGGGCGGGGGTGCTGGGGAGGGGCACGACTGGAGAAAGAGCCAGGCCGGGGCTAGGTGACCTTGGGTGTGACCTTGAGTCAGCCACATAACCTCTTGGGCCTTGGCTTTCAGATGGGGAGAGGCGCGGGGTGGGGGGTAGGGGGTGGCACTACTGTGTGGGCAAAGGCAGGGTGGGGTGGTCTGGGGGTCCTGGCCTTGGGGGTTTCCTGTCCCCTGGCTGGCCATTCTAGGTCCCAGAGGCAGTTTATCAAGTTGATTCTGACTCACAGCGCCCCTAGAGGACAGAGTAGAACTGCCCCAGAGGGTTTCCAAGGTTGTCATTTTACAAAAGCAAAGCCCAAACCAAACCCACTGCCTTCTAGTCAATGCCGACTCACAGCGCCCCTAGAGGACAGAGTGGAACTGCCCCACAGGGTGTAATCTTTACAGAAGCAGATTGCTCATCTTTCCGCCGTGCAGCTGGTGAGTTCCAACAGCTTTTTGGTTAGCAGTTGATTGCCTTAACCACCGTGCCAGCAACAAACCTTCCTGCAGGGTGAGACTGAACAATTTGGTTCTGCAGAGAGCAGGTGCTGACCTTGGTTCAGCCGGCTTGACCTTGGGTCCTGATGGGGAGAACTATCTTCCTCACCTGTGAAATGGGAGCTTGGTAGCTACCCTCTGCTGAGCCCTTACTAAGCTGGTCTCAATACTCCGCCTGGCTGCCTGCCTGCCTGCCTCCCATCTTCCTCCCTCCTTCCTTTCCTTCTTAAATTGAGATATAATTCACATAACCATAAACTCCTCCTTTAAAGCATGCAGTTTAGGGGGTCTTAGTTATCTTCAGAGCTGAGCAGCCATTGCCTCTCTTGTTCCAGAATGTTTTCATGATCCTGTACCCCTCTGTACACCTCATCGTCCCAAGGCCCCCAGCCCCTGGGAACCGCGACCCTTTCTGTCTCTGTGGCTTTGCTGCTTCCAGACATTTCCGATCAATGGAATCAGACAATATGTATCTGGTTTATTTCACTCTGTGTAATGTTTTCAAGGGTCATCCATGTTGTACGTGTGTCAACACTTCATTCTTCATAAAACCAAACCCACTGCCATGTAGTTTATTCCAACTCAGAGCGCCCCTAGAGGACAGAGTGGAACTGCCCCACAGGGTTTCCAAGGCTGTCAATCTTTAAGGAAGCAAAGCCCAAACCAAACCCACTGGCGTGGAGTGGATTCTGACTCACAGCGCCCTTAGAAGACAGAGTGGAACTGCCCCACAGGGTTTCTGTGGCTGTCAATCTTTAAGGAAGCAGACTGCTTCATCTTTCTCCTGAACAGTGGTTGGTGGGTTGGAACCACCAACCTTTTGGTGAGCAGTCCAGTGCTCTAACCGCTACACCACCAGAGCTCCTTCCCTCTTTATGAGTACTGTCCCATTGTGTGGATAGACCTCTTTGTGCTTACATAATCTGCTGACAGACACTTGTGTTGTTTCCACCTGTGGGGCTGTTGTGAATCTTGAGGCTGTAGACATCTGTGTACAAGTTTTCATGTAAACGTATGTTTTCATCTCTCTAGGGTATACATGGGGAGCTCTGGTGGCATAGTGCCTAAGGCATTTGACTGCTAACCAGAAAGCTGGTGGTTCAAACCCCATTAGCCACTCCTCGGAAGGAAGGCTGGGCAACCTATTTCCGTACTGATACCACCTCGGAAACCCAAGGAGGGGTCACTGTGAGTCCGATTTGACGGCAGTGAGTTTGGTTTGGAGGGTATACACTGGTGGATGGATTGCTACTGTTTCTCTGTTGTTGTCATGTGCCGTCGAGTCGGCCCCGACTCATAGCGACCCCATGTGCTTACCTTCATAGGCCCCTAGATCCTAGTTTGACGGGCGAGACAAGATTTGGCCTTTAGGGGCCTCCAGACTGACAGAGACTTCCAAAGGCCCCAGTCTGACTGGGAGACATGGCCCTGTCCTCCTACCCCAACCCCACGGAGAGCCAGGGCCCTGCCCTGGAGCCTCCCAGTCTGTGGGACTGGCTGTGGAGTGTTGTGAGTTGTGTCCTCCAAAATGTGTGTTGTTGATCCTAACCCCTGCCTGTGGTTATCATCCCATTTGGCAACGGGTTGTTTGTTATGTTAATGAGTAGGATTAGTGTAGGGACTATCTTGAGCCAATCTCTTATACAAGAGATATAAACCAAGCTGATGGAGAGACTAGCAGGGACCTGGAAGAGATACCAAGCCACATGATCACCCAGAAGCAGATGTTCCAGAGTCAAGGACCTCCCTCAGAGCCTTCACCTGGAGCGGTCACCCTGAAATCAGACTCCCAGCCTGCCAGACTACTGCAGCCATCTTCTGGTGCTTGTGTTACAGCAGCCCTCGATAACTGAGATTTGGGGTGACGAGGCATAGCCCCTGGAGCCTGAGGGCTGAAATCCAGGCCATCCCAGGTTCACTTCCTGTGAACCCTGTGCGGAGGGGGGCTGCCCCTGGCTACAAGATGGGGGACTGAGAGTGTGTGTGTGAGTGTGTGTGATGGCATTGGTGACAGGGTGGTAGTGTTGCCGTGGGCTTGCAGAGCAGGGAGCCTAGCCTCGTCTGCCTGGAAGGCCTGGGAAGGGTGAGCAGCCCCCATCCTTTGTGAAGCTTGGCTCAGGCAGGAGGGGAGACACCCCCTCAACTGCAATGATCTCTGGCAGCCAGGCGGCCCCCAGGGAGTTGATGCAGATTTGGGATAAGGCCAGACAGCTCCTGAGGACAGGATGACAGGAATGGGAGCTGGCAGGGATGGGGACTGTCAACAGTGATGGGGGTGGGTGGTCTTGAGGGCGGGGGTGCTTAGGAAGTGGGGCAGAGCAGGACAGCAGGCTGGGCCAGCACAAGTGACCCCAGCATGTGGCTGTGCCTGTCCTCCCTGCCTCTCAGCTCTGGGACCCCACAGGGAACTGGGGCCAGGGGCAAACAATCTACTGTCAGGGCAAGGGCCAGGAGAACAAAGCCCACAAGGCTGCAGGGAAAATCAATTGACAACCTCCAAGGGCAGTGGTGGCTCTGCTGCGGAGCCCTCGCCCTGCCAATCGGAGACCCAGGTTTGATTCCTGGCCAATTGTGCAGCCCCTAGCGTCTGTCAATGGAGGCCTTCGTGATGCTGGGAGGCTGAGCAGGTCTCAGCAGGGCTTCCGGACCAAGGCGGACCAGGAAGAAAGCCCTGGGCGTCAATCTCCACAGTCAGCCAGCGAGAGCCCTGTGGAGGACAACGGTCTGACCTGCAGCCGATCACAGGGACAGTGCAGGACCGGGCAGCGTTTTGTCCCGTTGTGCACCGGGGCCGTGAATTGGGGGCCAACCTGACAGTGGTTCACAACATACCACTTAATTCATTTACTTATCACGATGGCTGCTTGTTGCTTCTTACTAGAACGAGGCAGCTTGGAAGAAAGGCCTGGCAATCTAATTCCTAAAATCCAGCCCTGCAAACCTTAGGGAGCTCGGTGCTGCTCTGCCACATGCAGGGTCCCTGTGAGTCTGCGTCAACGGCAACTGCTTTGGTGTCTAGGTTTTGTGCTAACAGAGGCCTCGCTCCCGCGTCCCCCACCTCAAAGGCTGGCAGAGAGGAGGAGGCATCCAGGCCTGTTCACCAGGTTCCTTTTACTGGTTCCTGACAGTTCTGTGGGTGAAGGATGGAGCCAACAAGGGGGGGGGGGGGCAGGCTTAGCCTTGTGCCCCAGATACTGCCGACAGTCCTGAAGACAGTGTGAACAGAGACCCAGAAGGCCTCGTGGAAGCCAAGAAATGCTCATAGGACGTCCAATCCCTGGCCACTGTGCCAGGCGGGGACAAGCCAAGCCGGGGTCCCTGTGGTCACGGCAGGTGTGTGGCAGGAAGAAGAGATGCCGAGCCCTTCAGAGGACACTTGTGCTTTTCTGGCCCGGTTCCAGTCCTGGTTCTGTGACCTTCCACCCCACCCACGGCCCCTCGGACGTGGCCGGAGCTGGCCCTGCAGCCCAAGACCTGGGGCAGGGCCTGGGTGGGGGCTCAGTTGCTGCCGCTGCTGTCCTCACTGTCGGAGTACGCGCCCAGCTGGCTCAGGGAGGAGGCACCAGGCACCCGGGGCACAGGGTCAGCCGCCTTCCAACGGTTGTGTGGGGGGGCTAGGGGAGAAGTGGAGCGGGAGTTACTGGCTATATGACCTGGTTTTAAAGAATTTGTAATAATAAAAAAAGAAGAAAAAGGAAACTCCATCCTCTTCCCCTTGTCCTTGTTGGATGCTGTGGAGTTGATTCTGACTCATGACGACCCCACAGACTCATAGACCTGCCCCATGAGGTTCCCTAGGCTGTCATCTTTACACAAACAGCTCTTTTCTCCTGCAGAGTGCAGAGTGGCCGGTGGGTTCGAACTACTAATCTTTTGGTTAGCGGCCACGCACTCAACCATAGGGCTTCTCCTCACGCCAAGCATTAAGCCCTGGGGAAGAGAGACCAGCACAGCCTCCACCCACCCCAGGAAGGCCCCAGAAAGCGGTGGAGAGCAAGGTTGTCCCCTAGGGGCCGCCAGGGGCACTGCAGTCAGCTCCAGGACCCAGACCCCAGGGAACTCACTCACCTGGGCCAGGCGCCTTCTGGCCCGGCTGGCTGCCACGGTCCAGATCTGTCTTCCGTACCACCACCAGGCCGGACAGCTGGGTCCTGTTGCCAAGGGTGCCAATACTTCGCTCCCAGCTCTCCACCTTTCTTTTGGCCTTTGGGGCCTGCAGGGTGATGGTGGGATATAGGTGAGTGGTCGACCCCAGATCCAGCCCCTTCTGTGGCCTCCTGGCTCACAGGGCGCCTGCTGAGCCAGCTGCCAGCAGGGGCCTCACTAGCCCTGCTCCCACCGCTCTGGGTATCTCCCCTGCCCTGCGTTCTGCGGCTCCCTATTGCCCTAATTTTGGCAAGCAAGGCCTCTGTCCATTCCCCTTTCTAACGTGGAATTCTGAGCTGGAACATGGCTTCCTCCACTGAAGACTCCATTTCCTACAGTCCTTTGCAGCCAGATCTGGTCAGGTGACTCATTTCTGACAAAGGAGAGGTGCTCAACGAAGGGTTGTTGTTGGGTGCTGTCAAGTTGAGTCCGATGCAGAGTGACCTCCATGTACAGAGCAGACCTGCCTCACGGGGTTTCCCAGGCTGTCATCTTTATGGGAGCCGACTGCCGGGGCTTTCTCCGCAGCAGCTCGGAGCCTTCAAGCCGCCAGCTTCCAGTCAGCAGCCAAGCCCTTAACCCCTGCACGCCCAGAGAAAGATGACACCCTTAAACCCCCCCCCCGACCTTGGCCCTGTCCACTGGCTGGGACGCGGACGAGCCAACGAAGTACCATAAAACAAGCATGTCAACCTGGGGATGGATGAGAGGGTGGCACCTGGACCCCTGACCCCAGGGGCCCACTGTCCCTGCTCCAGGTCACTTGTGGGTGACCCCTGTTCGAGAATTCTATTCCGCTGAAGCTGCAGTTACTTCTCAGTGTTCTTGCCCTGAGGCGGACCCTGTATTTTCACTAACACAGGACACAAATATGTTCTGAGTGAACATCAGATGCTTTTAGCACGTACATACTATTTTTTTGTTTCCTTGCTTTCACTAACTCTTTGCAATTAGCAAACCAAGGCATGGCCTAGACCACCTTAGATGAGACAGCGGTGGTGGATGGTGGAAAACCCGAGTTGTCTTCCAAAATCCCTTCTCCTTGTCTTTCTAGCAGACACGCAGCTGGGCACAGGGCTGCTCAGCTGGAGGAGTCACCTCCCAGACTCTCTTGCAGCTAGGTGCAGCCCCATGACCAGTTCTGGCAAATGGGATATGGGGGGGGTCTGGGCTTCAAGACACTGGCGGGCATTCCTCTATACCCTCTGCTTTCCCTCAGCCGGACGTGAGGGTCCCCTGAGCCAGCTGTGCCCATGAGGCTGGAACTGATGCTGCAGGGAAGGGCAGAGCCAGGAGCTACATGGAGTCTGGGTCCCAGACTGACAGCGTGGAGCTGAGCTGCCCAGACATCCTGGATTTATATGTGACTGAGAAACTTCTATGTTCTTTATGGCTGTGAATGTCAACCAAAGCAAACTCACTCCTGCAGAGCTGACTCCAATTCATGGTGACCCCGTGGGTCAGAGCAGACCCGCTCCACAGGGCTCACTGCTGTAACTCCCTGAGAAGCAGATCACCGGGGCTCTCTTCCATGGCACCACTGAGCGCATTTGCAATGCCAACCTTTAAGCTGGTAGTCAGGCATAAATTGTTTGTGCTGCCCAGGGACCTCCTTGGACAGGAACCAAAAAACCCCACAAAAAACCAAACTCACTGCTATCAAGTCGCTTTGACTCATAGCGACCCCTCCTTGGCTTTCTGAGGCAGTATCACTATGGAAGTAGAATGCCCAGTCTTCCTTCCAAGGAGCGGCTGGTCGGTTTGAACCTCCAGCCTTCTAGTTAGCAGTCAAGTGCCTTAGGCACTATGCCAGCAGAGCTCCCCCTTGGATATGGGGTCTCTTTATTTCAGCAGCATAAATGGGGACTGGCAAACTACAGCACTACTGGCCTGTCACTTGTTTTTATAAAAAAGTTTTACTGCCACATAGCCACGCCCATTCATTCAGTCATCATCAATGGCAGCTTTTGCCACAACAGAACTGAATGGCTCTGACACCAACTACCTGGCCTGCAGCACTGGAAATATTTACACTGTGGCTCTTAAAGAAAAAGCAGAGCCGACCCTGCTCAACAGGACAGCCGTGGAGATTTAGGCAGCCCTCCTTACCTCCTCCAGGAGCTCTGGTAGCACAGTGTCTAAGGCACTTGACTGCTCACCAGAAGGCTGGTGGTTCAAACCCACTAGCCACTCCTCAGAAGGAAGGTTGGGCAATCTACTTCCCCAGTGATACTGCCTCGGAAACCCACAGAGGGGTCACTATGAGTCGGGGCCGACTCGATGGCACATAACAACAACGACAACAACAACCTCACCTCCTCCAGGATGTCAGTGGGGTTGGGCCGGGTGGCCGGCCGAGATGGGGCAGGAGCAGTGTCGTCCTCTGAGTCAGAGTCCTCAAGCAGTCGCTGGTTCCTGGCTTCCTCCACCAAGGCCCTGTGGGGACAGAACACGGGGCCTTGGGACATACCCTGCAGGGGACAGTGCTGGCCCTTCCTGCTCTCGCTGGGGGAGCCGGGATGTCCTGGCATGCTGGAGGGTGTCAGATTCCCCTTCTTTTTTTTTGTCAGCCAAGACCACCCCGGGGCAGTTCCGTTCTGTCGGCGTCACCATCAGTTAGGATCGACTCGCTGCCCGTGGGTTGTTATTGTCTGGAAGCCTCTTGTTGACTCACTCCTTTCCTGGTGCATTGTCTCTCTTCCCTCCTTCGGTGTCTGGGCTCTGGCAGAACAGGGGCCTTTCCCCTGACTCCTGCTGCTTCCCCACGACCTAGATAGAGCAGCTAAGCACCCGGAGGTCAGCGGAGTGGCTAACTGCTAGGATGTCAGGACCTCCCTGTCTGGATTCTTATCCTGGCTTGGGACCTAGGGACGGTCCAGGGTCCTCTCTGGACCTCAGTCCGTCCCTTCACCTGTCATAATGCTCACGCCAACCTCCAGGGCTGCATTGAGGATCTAGAAAGGCCAAACCAAACAGTGCCTGATGCCAAGAAGGGCTCACCGTTACTCACACGTCGCTGATCTGCCCACCCAGCAGGGGCTACTAAAGACCTCCAGGTGCTTAGCTGCTCTATCTAAGTCGTGGGGAAGCAGCAGGAGTCAGGGGAAAGGCCCCTGTTCTCCCAGAGCCCAGACACCGAAGGAGGGAAGAGAGACAATGCACCAGGAAAGGAGTGAGTCAACAAGAGGCTTCTAGACAATAACAACCCACTGGCAGCGAGTTGATCCTAACTGATGGTGACGCTGACAGAACGGAACTGCCCCGGGGTGTTCTTGGCTGAGATCTTTCCAGAAGCAGCCTTCCTTCCGTAGCAGCGAACCACCGACCCTTAGGGTAACAGTGCAGCATGAACCGCATGCAGCCCTCGGCCCCCAGAAGGCAGGGTGCAGACAGCAGCACGGAGGCCTGTGCACTGATAGCCGCTGGCCGGCATCTGTGAACTTGAACTGTGCTCCCCCGCTCCCTGCGGAGCCGGTTTCCTGGACTCTGCCTTGCACACGTTTGCTCTGCTGTGTGCACGCCATGTCCTCCCGCCGGGAGGAAGCACAGGGAGAGGCCGGCCACCCGCCAGGCCCCCAGCCACCTAGTGAAGCAGCGAACCTAGGAGCATGGTGACCCTGCCCAGATCCTGCCATTCGAGAGAAAGTGAGAGGGGTGGGGTGGGGCAGCAAGGTGTCCCCATGAACGTGGCTGCTCTGGACTGAATTGGATCCCCCCCCAGAATACATAATGAAATCCTAAACCCTGCACATGTAAACAGGACTCCACTTGAAAATAGGGGTTTTCTTCTGTTAGGTTTGTGAGGTCGCACTCAAGTGGGGTGGGTCAATATATAATCACTCCAGAGTCATAAAAAGGGCAGAATAAGCAGACAGACAGACACATACACAGGGGAAGACAGCCCCACGGTCACGGGTGGACACCAGGGGAGAGGCGCCCAGAGGGCACTGGCATGGCCGAGACCCGGACCTGGACGCCCAGCCTCCAGAGGACATCCATGTGGGTTTCAATGGCCCCACTTGGATCTGTTCCAGCAGCACTAGAGACTCAGAAGCCCGAGAAGCCCTGGCGCGGCAGGAAGGGGGACTCACGCTGTCTCCCTCTCGTCCTCCTCCTGCTCCTGCTGCTGCCGCTCCTCCTCAGACAGCCGGTGCTGCCGCAGCATGGCCTCGAAGTCCACGTGGGCCTGCCGCTGGTTCAGGTCCTTGAGCTCCTGCAGGTTCTCCAGCACCTCCATCTCCAGCTTGGAGTCCTTGGTGCGGTTCTCCAGCACCTGAGGGCACCAGGGGGCAGGCCTCAGTGCATCGGGATGGCCATGGGGTCGCCACAGGCAAGGGGAGGGGCCTCCACCATGGCACCTTGCTTCACAGCACCTGCTCACTTATACTAAGTGCACATGTGCACACAAATACACACACAAGGCGCCCAGTGTGCATGTATACACGTGTGCACACATACACACAAAGCCTCTGGCTCATTTGCACACACACACGCACCCACAGTGCCTGGCTCACATGCACACAAACACATGTACCCATGGTGCCTGGCTCACATGCACGCACACACGCACACACACAGTGCCCCACTCACGTGCACGCACACGCATGCGCCCATGGTGCCCGGCTCACCTTCATGGGGTTGTTCAGCTCCTCATCCTCCCGCTCCTTCTGTACCCTCTTCTCCTCCTCCTCCAGGAGCTTCTCAGCCTGGAAGTTCCGCGTGGCCCCGTGCTCCATCGTGTAGTCCGTGTTTTCGGGGTCTGTCTGGCAGGGGCATGGGCAGTGTTAGTTCCTCCATCCCTGGCACCAGAAGGCCCGCCCAACCAGCTGCCGGCATCCAGGCCCTCTTCTCTCTCTTTAGCAGCCCTCTGCCTCTTCTTATCTTACTGCCTCAGTTGGAAGCTCTTTCTGTCCAGGGCCTCCTGCTGGCTTCTTCAGAAACACCCATTTCCTCTGTGTGGACTTAAAGACCCTTAAAGCCCCCTGCCATCCATTTCCCTCCACTCCCCACCTGCAACATTTTTAAATTTTTTTTTTTATTGTGATTTGGGTGAAAGTGTACAGAGCAAATTCACTTTCCATACAGCAGCTCACATACACTTTGTCTCATGACATTGACCACAATTTCCCACAATGCCACAGCTCCCCTCCCACTTCCTCCTGTTACCTCTTCCCTGTGTCTATCCCTCCATGCGCCCCTGCTCCCTGAGCTGTCTCCCTGTCACCTGCAACATTTTTGCAACTAAAAGTTGCCAGGCCTTTGAACATGTGCCTTGTGCTATTTTTTTTTCTTATGGTTATTTAAAAAAAAAAAAAAAAAATACACAGCATGCTGTATATGTACTTGAATACATAATCAAGGAAAAAAAAAAACAATTCAAGTACATATACAGCATGTTCCTGCTGTGTTTACAAAACCCCCAAAAACATATTCAAGTACATATACAGCATGCTCCTGCTGTGTTTACAAAACCCCCAAAAACCAAACCCACTGTTGTGGAGCTGATTCTGACTCAGAGCACCCCTGGAGGACAGAGCAGAACTGCCCCAGAGGGTTTCCCAGGCTGTCAATCTTGATGGAAGCACACGCTCATCTTTCTCCCATGGAGCAGCTGGTGGGTTCAAGCTGCCAACCTTTTGGTTAGTAGCCAGCCAAATGCTTTAACCACTATGCCACCAGAGCTCCCATTTATAAACAGAGGATAAATCCATAGAGACAGACAGTAGAGCAGCTAGCAGTTGCCAAGAGCTGGAGGAGGAGAGGAATGGGAGTGACTGCTAACTGGTATGGGGTTTCTTTTCCGGGTGATGGAAAAGGTCTGGGTTAGATAGTGGGGACGGTTGTACAACTTTGCAAATATACTGAAAACCTCCGAGTTGCATAAAAATCCAAAACAAACCTGTTGACCTCGAGTCAATATCTACCCTGGTGACCCCATGTGTTACAGAGTAGAATTGCTCCACAAGGTTTTCCTGGCTGTGACTGTTATGGAAGCAGATTGCCAGGCCTTTCTTCTGTGGTGCTGCTGGGCGGGTTCAAACTACCAACCTTAAGGTTAGTAGTCGAATGCAAACCACTGGTGTCACCCAAGGACATACATTCTATAGTTAACTGCATCTTAAGTGAATTTCACCTCAATTAAAAAAGAAATTAAAGCTGTGATTTTTGTTGGTCACATAATGTTCCCTGTACAATGATTTGTTCATCTAGTCTCCTATTGCTGTACATCTGGGTTGCTTCCAATTTTTTTGCCTTTATAAATAATGCTGCAATGCACACCCTCACCCAAATCTTTGCTTCGTGGGGACAGACTGAACTGAGATTTCCCTGGGTGGTCGAGGATATGAGCAGGTAACTCCCCGGGCCCTCCCCTGCTCCAGAGGGCTGGGCAGGCAGTCCCACCTTGAAGGTGATTTCCGCCAGGCAGCGCGTACACTTGATGTAGAAGCGGAAGATGGGCAGGCCCAGGTAGACCTCATTCTGCACCGTCTCTTTGCGCGCGTTGAACTTCTTACCCTTGTAGATGTACTCTCCGCATGTCTTACACCTGTGGGGCCGGCAGGAGGGAAGGACAGACTTGAGCTGTCTCAGAACTCTGGGATGGCATTCTAAGCGATGCATGCTTGCATACCACAAATAACAGAGTGGTTGGGAGGGTCCCTTGGGAGGGGGATCTGAGCCTCAAGGGTGAAGAGGAGCCAGCCTTGGAGAACAACATCAGAGTGTTCTCAGCAGAGAAAAGAGCTCAGGCAAAGGCCCTGTGGTAGGGACAAGCTTGTAGTATTTGTTGGAGGAGCTGAAAGATAAGTGCTGGGTGCCTGGTCAGGGCTCCACCTTTGCGCTCACCTGGTAACTAATGATCAAAACCTCCGGGCAGCCCATAAACTGCCATCTCCATTACCATGAGACCAGAGGATGTGGATGGTGTCCCACTACCACTGCTGAATGTTTTGATCAAGGGTCCAATAAATGGCTCCTGATCAAAAGAAAGGAAAGTGTGGAAAAGGACATCAAACACAGGGAAACTCGACCTACTAGGTCCATGGAGACTGGAGGGACCCCTCCAGAAATAATCTTTAAATCTTGAACTGAAACTATCCCACGATGCCATCGTTAAACAACAATTTAGTCGAGTTAATAAAGCCGGTGTATTCGCGCACAGTGCTCTTGTAGAGCTGTCTATATGAGTGTAATCTGACAACAGTTAACTGAAGCACAGATGAGACTTTAAGGGCAGAGTCTAAGTCAATGGTGATGAAACAGTGTATGTAAAGAGAGAGTGGTGGCACACGAAGGATGTAACCAATGTCGCTGAGCTGTTCCTGCAGAGCTTGTGACTGGATGCATACTCAGCTGTGTATACTGACACCAAGAAAACCACATATATACATATACACACATAAAAACTTCATGAAACAGAAGCTCAGGGGATTCTACAGAGGACCAAAAACTAAAAATCCAAACCCACTGCCACTGAGGTGATTCCAACTCACAGTGCCCCTAACATACAGAGTGGAACTGCCCGAGAGTGTTTCCATGGCTGTAATCTTTAGCTATAATTATAGCCATGACTATAATCTAAGCCATCTGACTGCTCACCAAAAGGCTGGTGGTCCAAACCCACCAGTCACTTCTCAGAAGGATGATTGGGCAATCTACTTCTGTAGCGATACTGCGTCAGAAACCCAAGGAGGGGTCGCTATGAATTGGGTCCGACTCAACAGCACATAACAACAATCTTTACAGAAAGGAGTTCTGGTGGTACAGTGGTTAGGCATTTGGCTGTTAATCAAGATTGGAGGCTTGAACCCACCAGTTGCTCTGTGGAAGAAAGATGAGGCCATCTGCTCCGTAAAGAATTACAGCCTTAGAAACTGTTCTGGTTACCTAGTGCCGCTCTGACAAGAATATACCACAAATGGGATGGCCTTAACAAACAGGAGATTATTATCTTACAGTTCGGGAGACTAGAAGTCCAAGTTCAAAGTCCCAGGCCCTAGGGGCTGGGTGAAAGCCCCTCAACCTTGGGGCCCAGCTCTGCCTCCTGCTCTCAGCCCACTGGAGCTAGAGGCATTTCTTCACTCAGTCAGCTACTGGCTGCTGAGGCTAACAAGCTCAAGGTCAACAAATAAAAAGTCACAGTCCTGATGTTACCAAACCACACGTCAGGCCATTAATTCAAGTCCACTGAAAGTCCCAGGTTGGCAGAGCATGGAAGGCTGCTGAACAATGACACGGCTACATGCAGGGCCCAACCATGCCATAAGCTGAAGATTATCCCCAAGGCTTCTCCTTATATACACGAAGCAGACCACATCCCAAAGGCAGCTACTCAGCTGCTTGTGGTAGATCCCACCATGGAGTTGATTGCCAGTCTCATCATGGGGAATAACTACCACCAGCTGCCCAGCCACTCAACCAGGCCCAGCCAAGTTGACACACAACTTTAACTACCACAGAAACCCAATGGGGTCACAATGATTTAGAACTGACTGGATGGCAGTGAGTTTTTTTTTTTTTTTTAAATTAATCTTTACAGAAGCAGACTGCCCTACCTTTCTCCCGTGGGGTGGCTGGTGGGTTCAAACTGCCAACCTTCCAATTAGCAGATGAGTGCTTAACCACTATGCCACTAGGGCTCCTTCAACAGAGGGCAGGGAGTGTTAATCCAGAATCAGTGTCTGAGCCAGGACTGGTGACCTGGTCTGAACGAACGTCAGCTCCGAACAGCTCCCTCTGGACGTGGGGTGGGGAAGTGGGTGTGTGCACCACACCCAGTCGGGGGTTCAGGGGGCCACGTAGTGCACTCACCTCATGTTGAAGGGGGCCATCAGCCGTACCACATACTGCCGGTCTTTGGGGAGCTTGAGCTTGGGGATCTTCGAGGGGTCAAAATCTGGTGGGTAGTATTTCTGCAGGGAGGAAGGAAGCATTGGGGTAAGTAGTTTTCAGACTTGGGGGGAAAAGCCATAAAAGAGGGAAGGGGCTTGGGGAGCTGTGTTGGGGATCCCAAGACCATCCTCCAGAAAAACCCATTGCTGTTGCATCGATTCTGACTCCTGGTGACCCCACGTGTTATAGAGAACTGTACTCCACAGGGCTTCTTGGCTGCAATCTCTATGCAAGTAGATCGTCAGGCCTGTCTTCTGTGGAGCTGCTGGGTGGGTTCATACTGCCGACCATTTGGTTAGCAGCCCTAGTAAAGCAGTTAGCAGCACATGGAGCAAACCATTTGCACCACCCAAGTACCTCAGATCACCCCCAGGTTGGATAATTTGCTAGGAGGGGACACATGACTGCACAGATAACTGTCTGATCTATTACATGAACAGGGCAGAGCACAGTCAGCAAGGAAGAGGGTGCATGGGAGAGCAGGGGGACTCTAGGCACCAGCCTCCAGAGCCTCTCCCAGTGGGGGACGTGGGATGCACTTGATTCCCTCAGCTGCAAGCTGTGACAACCCGTGTGGAGTGTCCATCAGGGAAGCTCATCAGAGACCCAGAGCCCAAGGCTTTTATTGGGACTTGTCATGTATACACTCTCTGCCTGACATGTACCCACATTCCAGACCCCCAGAAGGAAAGCAGGTGTGTAGCATAAACCATATTATGTGCACAGTCTGGGCACAGTGAACAGGCTTACAGTTAGGAAACCCTTCCCAAATCCAAGATTCTGATGCCAGTCACAGGGAGGCCTTACAAATAGACTTAAGGCATTCTCAGGCCTCTTATGACAACTCTCTCCTGCACAGGAGCCCAGAGCAGGAGCTACAGGAAAGGTGAGTTTGGATTGTGAAAAATAACTCCACTCAACAGTCGGAAAATAAAGCCCTGTGTTTTTAACATTTACCAGACTCTAGACCCTGCATGAAGTGTTCTACACACCCTGCCTTGGGGATTCTTACAGAGAATCTACGAGATAGTGAATGATGCACCCAATTTACAGAGAAGGAAACTGAATCCCAGAGGTTTCGGCTGCTCAGGGTAACAGAGCATGAGGAGTCAAGCCAGGACTGAAGCCCAGGCTCTTGACTATTGAGGTGCACAGGGTGGCTTAGTGGTCAGGGGCATGGACTACAGAACTGGACAGTTTGGGTTCGAATCCTCCACTCCCTGGTGATTGCTTATCCTATATGAGCCTATATGGTGGGTTTAAACCTCTAACCTTCAGGTTAGCAGCCAAATGTCTTATCCACTACACCACCAGAGCTCCTTATACGAACCTCAGTCTCCTCTAATCTATCTACCCAAGAGCACTATTGTGAGGGGGGTGATGAGTAAAGCAAAGTGCCTGCTACACAGGACTATCTACCAGGAATTACGGAAAGGAGCCCTAGTCGTGCAACAATGAAGCACTCAGTCGCTAACTGGAAGGCTGGCAGTTTGAAATCACCCAGCAGCTCTAGCAAAGAAAGGCCTGGGGGTTTGCCCCCGTAAAGATTAAGAAAACCCTATGGGGTAGTTTTACTCTACACGGGGTCACTCTGGGTCAGAAACAACTGGCACCAAACAACAGTGACAACATATGGAAATAAATATCAGCTTGCCTGCCTGAGGAATTGAACAGGAGGGCTTGGCAAAGCCTAACTCCTACAAGGCACACGACTGGCTGGCCACCCAGGCAGGGCAAGGATTAGGAAAACCTCCTCCCTGAAGGTAAAGTATGAGCAGGAAGGTCAGTATTTTTATACAAAGCCAACGCCTTCAAAAGTAACTGAATAATTCCTTTCAGACAATGCAATCAGGGGAGCGATTAGGAAAATACCTGAAGCTCCGCCCCACACAGGTGACTGGGCACACTCCAGCCACCCAGGGGGCGAGACTTCACTAAGGCCCACCCCCCGTGAAAGATGATTGGGAGGAGCAAGACTTCACCTCTCTACTTTAGGCTTGTTGTCAAGAGGGGCCGTTGCCTGGAGAAAGACATCATGCCTGACAAAGCACAAGTTCAGCGAAAAAACGAGTGCCTTAAACTAGGTGGACTGACACAGTGGCTGCAACAATGGGCTCAAGCATAACAACGATTGTGAGGATGTCGCAGGACCGGGTAGTGTTTCGTTCTGTTGTACTCAGGGTCGCTGAGTCAACCGACTCCACGGCACCTAATAACAACAGAAAACCCAACTCTGTTGGAGCTCTGAGATGTATCACTCCGATGGAAAGCCCCAGATACCCAACACTTACGTTTAAAACTTTTCGCTCCGACATCTCGGCCTCCTACTCTTCTCACAAGCACCACAAAACAGGTTAGGCTCGGTTTTTAATCGCGCTTCGACAATAAGCCCGACACTTCCGCCAACTTTACTTCCGGCAGCCTCTATTATTGCTGACAGTTATACAGCTTGCCTTTTTCATTGGCTCAGATTCCCGCCTGTCAAGGGTCGAACCCTTCTGTTTTCTCTCCGGCTTTGCAATCTCCGCAGCGTGGAAGAAAGGTTCCGGGTGAGGTGTCTCCATTTGGAGAGAATTCGAGGAGACGCTGAGCCCCCTAGCGTTTTGTAGCCTGTAGTTAAAATGCTGCGATATGGCTGCTAGCCGCGACATTCCCTGCTGTTGATTCTTTTATTCAATATGTAGATGTTGAGCTGTAACTCGGGGCCAGGGGCAGTTCTCACGGGCTACCCAAGTCGTGACAGAGGAGCACCCTGGGCGCCTCACCCCATACTTGAGACAGGATAGACTTAATAATCAGGGTCCAAACCCACCTCCCTACTACACACACACCATCTCCCAGAAATCCCTCCATCGCCTATGTTTTCCCTTTAAAACGGACACTTGCATAGTGCCTAAGGCATGGGACTGCTAACTAGAAGGCTGGCGGTTCAAACCCACCAGCCACTCCTCGGAAGGAACGTTAGGCAATCTACTTGGTAGTGATACTGCCTCAGAAACCCAAGGAGGGGTCGCTATGAGTCAGATACAACTCGACAGCAGTTGAGTTTTTTTTTTGGTTTACCACGTCCATACACTCTGTTCCTTTCCCAGTGTCCCCTCTGCCTTCAAGGAGCTGTTCTAAATATTTATTCTACGTCAGGTGTCATGCTCAGTAACTGGGGACACATTAGAGAACAGGACGTAAGATTCCTACTCTCAAGAGGGACATGTCTGTTTGGTGGCATAGATGGACAATATGCAAATAAATAGGACCATTTCAGAGGGTGGTAAATAGTCTGATGGTGCCA